ACTACTTGTCGTAAGGCCGTAATATTACAGTAAGTTCTATAAGACCATGATGTATATCGCCAAAAAAAGTTCCATGAAAATCGGCTTAAATTTTTTGTTCAACAGTTAATTACAAGAAAACGGCTCGGTAGATTTTCACCTAAAACTAATCAGTGTCATTCTCAACTAATATCTTTCGAAAAGTTTTTGATTTTTTAAAATCGGTTCGGTAGGATGAGCTTAAATGCGAAAAAAAGTTTAACACTTTTTTTCAAATTGCAAAGAAACGGCTTAGCAGATCGTCACACAAAACTGACAAACGATAGTCCTCACCGAAATACATCAAATAGCTTGTAAATTTCTAAAATCGGCTCAGGCGTTTTTGAGAAAACGTCGATCAAAGGTCTAATTTTGACAAATGCCAAAAAAACGATACCAATTTTTGCAAACTTTGACGAGTTTTTAAAGCTGAAGACTATGGTATCTACCGTCAAAAAAATAATCATAAAAATCGTCGAAATTTTTTTTTAAAAAACTTTATTACAAGAAAACGGCTCGGGCGATCTCTACCAAAAACTAATCAGCACGATTCCCAACCAATATCTTTCGAACGGTTTTTGAATTTTCAAAATCGATTCAGAATTGCGGGCTAAAACGTAGACGAAAATTTTTTCACTTTTTTGCGATTTATAAAGAAACGGCTTGCCCGATCGTCGCACAAAATTGACAAACAATAGTCCTCATCGAGATACATCGAGTGGCTTTTAAATTTTTGAAATCGGTCCGGCCGTTTTCGAGAAAACGTCGATTTACGGCAAAAAATCTGTTCACATACACGCACACACACACACACACACATATTTTTTCCAAATTTGGTCTCATTCGATTCAGAATAGCTTGAAACGTCGAGAAAACTTAAAATTAGCAATTCGGATTTTTTGATGAAAACATAAACTTCTCCTTCGGGAAGTTAATAAACATGTAGTACGTTAGTAATATAGCAACTGTAAATAATATTTACATTAATACGAACGAGTTTGTATTCAGTCTGTCGAATAGTTGCCGGATATTTGGTATTAGTCTCTGGAGCATGCCGAATATTCGGTGTTTGGCATTTTGCCGAATATTCGGTGTTCGGCATTTTGCCGAATATATTATTCGTTGCAAGCCTAATTTAAATATTATTGATACTGTTATGGGCCACAATATTAGAACAAACATGTGTTGCTCAAAAGCACTATACAATTTTGAGCCATGGCCATAAGAAATTTTATTGATTTGCATGTTGTGTTATCAGTAACAAATATATTAATATTAATTTTGTAGCAATGATATACCCACGCAAATATTTGTTGAAGCTTTTCCTTAGCATGTCTTTTGAATTAAATCGTTAAATTATCGATAATTACGAGAATGAGGAGGATAACACATGAATTTTAGTGAAGAAAAATGTTTTTATTGCAAAACAAATAATCAAAACAAAAACTCAAATATGTGAGCACTAATTAATATAACTGAATATAACACAAAATTGTATACCAATTTTTAACTTCCCGAAGGAGAAGTTTATGTTTTCATAAAAAAATCCGATTCGCTGATTTTATGTTTTCTCGACGTTTCAAGCCATTCTGAATCGAATGAGACCAAAGTTGGAAAAAATATGTGTGTGTGTGTGTGCGTGTGCACCAGCAGATTTTTTGCCGCAAATCGCCGTATTCTCAAAAACGGCTGGACCGATTTCAAAAATTTAAAAGCCATTTGATGTATCTCGATGAGGACTATTGTTTGTCAGCTTTGTGCAGAAAAGTGAAAACTTTTTCGTCCACGTTTTAGCCCGCAATTCTGAATCGATTTTGAAAATTCAAAAATCTTTCGAAAGATATTGGTTGGAAATCGATCGAACTGATTAATTTTTGGTAGAGATCGGCCGGGCTGTTTTCTTGTAATGTAAATTTTTTCGTCGATTTTTATTATTTTTTTGACGGTAGATACCATAGTCTTCTTGATCATACTAAAATATTACTGCCCTACGACAACTCGTTTAGCTTTAAAAATTCATCAAAGTTTGCAAAAATTAGTATGGTCTTTTTAGCATTTGTCAAAATTAACGCTTTCATCGACGTTTGCTCAAAAACGCCTGAACCGATTTCAGAAATTTAAAAACCATTTGATGTATCTCGATGAGGATTATCGTTTCTCAGTTTTGTGCGACGATCCGCCGAGCCGTTTCTTTGTAATTTGGAAAAAAGTGTTAAACCTTTCGTCCACATTTAGGCTCACACTACCGAACCGATTTTAAAAAATCAAAAACTGTTCAAAAGATATTAGTCGGGAATGATACTGATGATTAGTTTTAGGTGAGAATCTACCGAGCCGTTTTCTTGTTGAAAAAAAAATAAGCCAATTTCCATGGAACTTTTTTGGGCAATATATATCATGGTGTTATAGAACTTACTGAAATATTACGGCCTTACAAGTAGTTTAATTCTAAAAATTCATCAAAGTTTGAGAAAATGAGTAGTTCTTTTGACATTTGTTAAAATTAAACTTAGATGATTTACCTGGTATAACGATAAATGCTTGGTCTTAATAAATATACTAAACAATTAAAGTCCTACAAAAAACTGGCTCAATTATAAAAATTATAGATTTTTGAAAATTTCCTTTAAAAAAATACTCCGACCGGGTTGACGTGTTCGATTTTCAATAATGTGTAATAAATCTTACTTCACTTTATCACTTCGAATCCTTTTTACTACTCATAAATTAATCTATCTATCATGAATTAAGTCGATTATTCACACAAATCGGGAAGTTCATGTAACTTGCCTCAAGGCAAAATACCAATACCAACTAGTTTTTTTACTAATTTAATATTAAAATAAAATAAATGAAAAGTGCCTTTATAATTATTTTAAAATACTCAGACAAATAGTTGATGCCCCGTGGTTCGTCAGTAACAAGACGATACATGACGATCTGAATATTTTATATATCGAGGAAGTAATAAGAAACTTCAGTGTCCACCACTTTCAAAAACTAGAAGCCCATCCAAATAAAATAGTTGCACAACTGCTTGAGATACCACATTCCAGGAGGCTCAAGCGTAAATCACCAATGGATAATATCCTTGTTGCTAAATTGCTAAATGGAACAATTTCTATATTTTTTATAGTAAATCATCTAAATATGTTAGTTAATTTAATGTTTTTTTGTAGTATTATTATATTATTTTATTATTTACTATTATTATATATTATTATTATTATTATTAGTTACTATTCTTATGTTACATTAACTTCCCGTAGGGTAAGTTATTGTAATGGGCCGAAAATCGAAATGGTTTTGAAGGTTTCTGAACATTTTGGCATACCTCAGAAACAATGGATGTGTGTGTGTGTATGTATATATGGATACAAATTTCCAGTCACGTTTTCGGATTAACCGATTTGAATGGTTTAAAAAACATTCGATTCCTATTGATAGGGAGATGAGCTGATTAGTTTTTGGCAAAGGCAGGTCCAGCGGTTACGGAGATAAAGAGCAAAGAGTGCAGAAAATACAAATCGAGTTTTTGCGAGAACGGAGCATCCGATTTGAATCATCTAAAAACATTCAATTAGTAATGATTGGGAGAAGTGTTTATTAGTTTTTGAAATGATTGTAGTAATGTTGGTAAGGTTGACACATAGATAAAAGAAGAGTAAGGTTGACACTTCTAATTATGCCAGCAACATATGAGTTTGTATTTCAGTCCACTAGTCTTTTAAGGCGAATGTCCACTAATAAATTGTAAAAATGAAGAAAATCTGAGCCAATAATAGGATAATTTGTCACATCTGCTATTACAAAGCGACATCGGAATTTTCTTCTCAAACCCAAATCTAGTTGAATATGCTTGGTAGTGCCCTCGTAATAATTTTCGTGGCCAAACACACAAATCTGATCCTGTGTCGACTAAAATTTGCAGTTTTGAATTTTTATCGGTAACAAACAGGCGGTGCGACGTCTTGAGGCAATCACTTGCCGCCATTAGCGACTGCCCTTCATGTTTTTGAATGCTGAAATGAGCAAGGTTTAGTACATTTTAAAGTTTTGTTCTGCCAGCGATGGTGATACCAATAAATGTCATATTTTTTTGATTGTCTGTTAAAATATGGACTATTACTTCTTGAACGTCGCTTGGTTTTGTTTTGGGCAAGTAATTTACTTACTTGCTTTCGTAAGTCCTCGACTGATTTTGTGAGTTCTGTAATATTACTATTTGTAGCAGATATTGCAGTACTTTCGATCACGTCGGGGTCACCAATTATGTAGGTAAACAAATGTTGATAGTAATAATATATATTTATTTCTTCTTATTTACACTACATCTGATACAACCGATAAGCGGTTGGTGAATGAGAATTATTCGATGATAGGTCTGGGTTTTATACCCAAACCTCAACGACGTGGACGTCTGCTATTGGTCATTCCAAAGTTGGTCAATTGGAGGGTTGCTACATGTATTTAAAAGGTGGCGCCACTTGTTAAATGTCAAAGCGATTTGATAAGTGTCTCATCTTTCTGCAAGTATATTCTATGCTCCAAATGTCAGATAATTAACCTAGAATCATTATCATAGGAAAAGGAAATCATTATCATATTAAAAAAGATTGTTGTTTGAACTGAATTATTATTTAGCACATAACTATTTTTGTAAATATTAAGTATACGCAGTGAAAATATTTAAACATGTCAGAAGCATCATTCATTACTGTGAATGATCCGGCAATTAAAATTGAGCCACCAGAATATTTAGAAGAAGAAATTAAACGCGAAATTGGGGATGAAATGGATGATCTTGATGATATTGTTAAATCTGAATCGTATACTGAGGATGATAAAACCTGTTTAGAAAGATTCATGAATTCCGAGGTAACTATCGAAGAAGAAGTCAAACAGGAATTATTTGAGACATCAGCTTATAAATGTGACATTTGTAATCGATCATTTGCAAAACAAATCAATTAAAAGAGCATATGGTCGATCATAAGCCTAGTAATAGCAAAGAACGCCCATTCAAATGCGACATCTGTCTCAAGACTTACAAACGAAAAAGTCATCTGAAAAGTCACATGATTATTCACAGCGGTGAACGCCCCCATGAATGCACTACATGTAATAAGAAATTCAAAGTATTAAGTACTCTCAAAAGTCACATGCTCATTCACAGTCTTGATCGCGCCTATCAATGCAATATATGCAAAAAGAAATTCGCACAATTAAATGGTCTAAAAAATCACATGCTCATTCACAGTGGTGAGCGCCCCCATCAATGCAATATATGCAATAAGACATTTGCACAATTAAGTACTTTGAAAAATCACAATCTAATTCACAGTGGTGAGCGCCCCTATAAATGCAATATATGCAATAAGACATTCACGCAATTAAGTACTCTGAAAAAACACAACCTAATTCACAGTGATGAGCGTCCTTATAAATGCATTATATGCAATAAGTCATTCACACAAGTAAGTACTCTGAAAAGTCACAACCTAATTCACAGTGGTGAGCGCCCCCATCAATGCAAGATATGCAATAAGGCATTCACAGAATTAAGTACTCTGAAAAAACACAACCTAATTCACAGTGGTGAGCGTCCTTTTAAATGCATTATATGCAATAAGTCATTCACACGAGTAAGTACTCTGAAAATCACAACCTAATTCACATTGGTGAGCGCCCCCATGAATGCAGTTTATGCAATAAGTCATTCACAACATTATATAGTTTGAAAAGTCACATGCTTTCTCATACCGGAGAGCGTGCCTATAAATGTGAAACATGCAATAAAGATTTGGTTGTTCGAGAAATTTGAGGAGACACATGTTAATTCATAGTCAGAAGCGAGATGAAAATAAGTGAAATATTTTTTACTTCGAAATATTTAGATACATGTTATAAAATATTCTTGCATGTAATGTAATATAAGAATGATTAAATAGAATAAAGTACATAGTAAACATATAATAATATGCATTTATTGATAACCAATTCAATTTTTATATAATTGTTTTATACATTTTTTGTGGTTTTTCTAATTTGTGACTTATTGCAATAGAAACTATTGGAGAATGTTATAAGTGTGTAAAACAAAATCAGTTTGGAAAATGAATAAACTCAATTTTTAATAATAATGATTTAAAAATAATTGTAATCATTTGCTATTAAATTTCAGAACCAACTCGTTTTTTATATAAGATAGTCTAATTTAACACCGGTATAATAATTTTTGGCCGAGGAGTGCTTACCTTGGTTTAATATCCTTCAAAATTTCATTTTTATAATTTGAACTAGTCACCTTAATATATAATTTTATAAAAAGCCAATTACAAATAACAACATCAAATACTTTAGCATTTGTTATTGAATTTCTAATAACAAAACAAGATCTTTGGAAACTAATTTCAACAACTAACAACAATATCAGATTTTTCGTATTATTTTTCATAAATGTGTTCTTCAAAATCTGCAAACTTAAAGTTTATAATAATACATAATATTAATATATAATAATAATAATAATAAGTGGTAGTCTGCCCGAAGGCAGGTCCATGGTGTGAGAGCCACCACAACAAATGATTTCCTTGCCCTTCATCCCATAACCTATTTATTTATTTAAGTATTTTTCTTTCCAAACTTTTGTTTCCATGCTTCTTGATCATGCTCTTCGGCTTTCAGTTCCCTGTATTTTCTCTTCTCGCGTAAGTCGTCAATCGTTTGCATTCTTCTTCTTCCCATTCCTTTTGTTCCTTCTATTTTACCCTCGACGACGTCGTGTAGGAGGCACTCTTTTTGCAAAAGAGATCCAATCCAGTTTCCTTTCCTTCTCAGAATTGTGCTCAGTAGAGTCCTTTCTTCGCCCACTCTTCTCAGGACTTCTTCATTTGTTACTTTGTCTGTCCACTTTATCTTTTCCATTAGCCTCTAGCACCACATTTAAAAACTCTCGAGGTAGTTTTTATCGGCCAGGGTCCATGTCTCCGATCCGTACAGAGCTATGCTCCAGACGTAGCACTTTATTAGTCTCTTCCGTAAGTCAAGACTCAGTTTGCTCGTCAGTAGCGTTCTCTTCTTTGTGAATGCCGCCTTGGCGCTTGCGATCCTTGTTCTGATCTCTTTCGTGCAGTATCCGTCTCTGGTTAGTATGCTTACCAGGTATTTGAAGTGATCCACGTCTTCCAATTCTCGATTTTCTACCGTTATCCTCAGGGGGTTATTTGTTTTTGTGATTCTCATCACTTTCGACTTGTCTATTGTTGTGCTTCGTATATTTCACTGCCTTAACAATGATATACCACAGCTTGTTTTTGCCTTGCAGCGGAGATTTAATAAAGGAAAAACACTTCAAGTCCTTATCGACTAATGGACAAACTTTTATTAACTTTAAGTACAGTAATCTCATGAATGAAAATTATAAATTATATTATAGAGTTTAATTTAGTATCGCCTGTATGCTGCAGTCCAAAAGAGAGACTGAAACTCGCATGTGCATCATAGGGTTATCGCCTTCGGATATCTTCGGGTATCTCCGATACCCTTCGCCTGTCCTAGCTAGTGGTGTGTATACTAATAGAGTATTCGATGTAGGGATGTGAAGCGGGCATAACACTATGTTGATTTCCATTCCGTATCTTCTACCCACTTCGACGATTCTGTTTATCACGTTTTGCAGCTCGTTTTGGTTTTTTGATATCACTACTAGATCATCAGCGTACTTTATGGTGGTGATTCTTCTTCCTTCAATCGAGAAATCTCCTGCGCCCTCAAGTGCCTCGTTGACGAGCCATTCTCCGTACAAGTTGAATAGGATCGGTGACATACAGCATCCTTGCCGCACTCCTCTACCTATTTCAACGCTTTTTGTATCTCCCTGGTTCATTCGAACTTTTACTTTCTGTCCCATATACAGATTCTGGATCAACCTGCGATCCCTCCAATCGACGTTAATAGATTTTAAAACTCCCATAAGCTTACTCCAGTTGACTCTGTCAAAAGCTTTCTGCCAATCTATAATACAGAAGCATATGTCCTCGTTAACGTCGAGACATCTGTCCGACATTATCCTCAGTATTCTAATAGCGTCCTTGGTGTCTCTTCCTTTTCTGAAACCAAACTGGTCTTCGCTCATGTGCTGCTCAATCTTATTTTCGAGTCGTCTTGTAAGGATTTTGGCTAGGGCCTTTCCTGTGTGCAAAATTAAATTGATCGTCCTGTGGTCGCTGCATTTATTCGCTTTGGGCTTTTTCTGAAGAGCTATCATCGTGACATCCAGAAAGTCCTTTGGCCATTCGCCCGTTCTGTATATTTGATTCAAAAATTTGGTCAGTTTCCTCAATCCGTTGTTGCCCAGCTCCTTCAGTAGGTCCGCCGGTATGTCGTCATCTCCCGTTGCCTTCTTCCTTATCTCATTTATTGCTCTCTCGACTTCGCTTTTCAATATGCACGGTCCCTTGTCGTCTTCGTCCACTGCTTTCTCTTCTTCGATCTCGATATCATCAGGACGATTTTTTCTATCGTACAATTTCTCAATGTATTTTTCCCATACGCTGAGAATTTTCTTGTGGTCACTCATTCTATTTCCACTGTCGTCTTCTATTTCGTATGTTTTTTTGCTTTTTCTTTAAATTCAGTTCATTTCTTTTGTAGCCTGAAACATTAAATCGCACCTACCTTGTTTTCGATGTTCCATTATCTTGTTGCATGTTTCTTACATGTATTTCACTTTCGCCTTCTCCGTTTCTCGCCTTAATTCATTATTCATTTTTCTATACATCCTTGGATCTGTATTCTTGTATTTTCTACGCTCATCCATTTTCTTGATCATCTCCTGGGTTATCCATGGTTTTCTAGCTACTTTTTCTAGCTTTTCGACGTTGTCTTCTAGCGTTTCCAGAAGTACACTTTTTACCTCCTTCCAATCTTTTTCTACTGCCTCTTCTCTATCATTTGTTCCGCTGAGCTTCGTCTCCATTTCTCTCCTCACTACGATTTTATTATTCCTCAGGTTTTTCAGATTCCATCTCTGTCTCTTTTTACCCGTTTTGCGGATGTTCTTTAGTTTTGTCTCTATATCGGTCGTCAGCAAATTATGACCGGAATCTATATCGGCCCCTGGAAAAGTATTAACGTCTTTCACGCTATTTCTGAATCTGTTCTTGACGATGATGTAATCGATTTGATATCGTTCGCTGTGTCCCGGGCTTTTCCAAGTATACAGCTTTGTCTTTCGCTTTTTGAACCACGTGCTTGCGATCATCAGATTGTTTCTGCGGCAAAAGTTGATCAGCATATTTCCTCTGTCGTTCCTTCTGCCCAGTCCGTATTTTCCGACTATCTTTTCCTCTGATCTATTTCCGACTACCCCATTAAAATCTTCCATGATCACCACGTTGACCTTTCCTTTGCCTTCCTGAGATAGCATCTCGTCTATCCGCTCGTAGATTTGTTCTACCTCCGCCTCGTCGTGGTTAGATGTCGGCATGTACACCTGCATCACCATCACGTCCACTGGCTCCGCTTTCATTTTCACACTCATCAAACGATCACTCACGCTGTTCACATTCAGCACACTCCTCACCGGCTTGTTTCTTACCATGACTGCCACTCCTCTCTCGGATTTGTCTCCTCCGGAGTGATACATTGTGAAACCGTCCGGTTCGGTTTCACCTTGCCCCTGCCATCTTACCTCGCTCAGTTCCACGACGTCCACTTTGCACATTTGCCATTTTCCTCTTGAGGTTTTTCAGTTTTCCTGCCCTCATCATTGTCCTGACGTTCAACGTTGATAACCTGAAAGGCAAATCGACCGCAGTTTTGTTGCTACTTTCGATGGCTTCCCTCTCCATAGCCTCCACCCGGAGATCCGAACGGGAGGTCATTACTCCGGAATATTTTACAGAAGAGGAAGTCATCATTGGAACCATTTTCTCGTAGAATGCTCTCACACCTACTCTGGGAAGAATGTAATGTGGTAGTATTCCCCTTTTCCTTTCCACATCGCAGCGCCCGGACCAGCTGCACCCGTCATTCGAGTCGCGCTCCGGACTTTTTGATCTGGAGCCATCTCGAGCATCATTTGCTCTGTGCCTCCAGTCAATACTGGTGTCGCTGCTGCCCGACACCAGCTAACTCGGTTAGCCAATTTCGCTGTTTTCAGCCATTCGTTGCCCACCCCCCACGACGAGGACGTTTATTTTACTAGTTTGTTTTATGTTTTATAATATTTATCACTATCTTTCTCTATTACACTACTATATTATTCTTTAAAAGATTATATTATTAAACCAATTATTTCCACTGTCAATACAAGCAAAATGTTTTTTGAATCCTTGAAATCAAACGCTCCGTACTCACAGAATGTGCATTTTTGGCAGTTTTCACCCCGTATCTTCAAAACTTGTGAACCTGCCTTTGCCAAAATCTAATTAGCAAGTCTCCCCATCAGTAGAAATTGAATATTTTTCGAATCATTCAAATCGTGTTCTCGAAGTCGTCCATAAAAATGAGTAAATTTTTTTTTAAGTTTATTTTTTTATTAACTTCCCGAAGGAGAAGTTTATGTTTTCATCAAAAAATCCGATTCGCTAATTTTATGTTTTCTCGACGTTTCAAGCCATTCTGAATCGAATGAGACCAAATTTGGAAAAAGTATGTGTGTGTGTGTGTGTGTATGTGAACAGATTTTTCGCCGTAAATCGACGTTTTCTCGAAAACGGCTGGGCCGATTTCAAAATTTTAAAAGCCATTTGATGTATCTCGACGAGGACTATCGTTTGTCAGTTTTGTGTAACGATCGGCCGAGACGTTTCTTTATAAATAGCAGAAAAGTGAAAAAATTTTCGTGCACGTTTTAGCCCGCAATTTTGAACCGATTATGAAGATTCAAAAACCGTTCGAAAGGTATTGATTGGGAATCGTGCTGATTAGTTTTTGGTAAAGATCGGCCGGGCCGTTTTTTTTTTTTTTTATAGTTTATAGTTTTCTTGTAATAACGTTTTTAAAAAAAAAATTCGACGATTTTTATGATTTTTTTTTTGACGGTAGATACCATAGTTTTCTAGGTCATACTAAAATATTACGGCCCTACGACAATTGATTTAACTTTGAAAATTTGTCAAAGTTTGCAAAAATTGGTATCGTTTTTTTGGCATTTGTCAAAATTGGACCTTTCATCGACGTTTTATCAAAAACGCCTGAACCGATTTCAGAAATTTAAAAGCCATTTGATGTATTTAGATTAGATTAGATTAGAGAACTATCGTTTTGTGCGACGATCTGCCAAGCCGTTTCTTTGTAATTTGAAAAAAAGTGTTAAACTCTTTGGCCACATTTAAGCTCATCCTACCGAACCGATTTTAAAAAATCAAAAACTGTTCGAAAGATATTAGTTGGGAATGATGCTGATTAGTTTTAGGTGAAAATCTACCGAGCCGTTTTCTTGTAATTAACTGTTGAAAAAAAATGTTGAACTTTTCGTCCACATTTACCGAACCGATTTTAAAAAATCAAAAACTGTTCGAAAGATATTAGTTGGGAATGGTACTGATTAATTTTAGGTGAAAATCTACCGAGCCGTTTTCTTGTAATGAACTGTTGAAAAAAAAATTAAGCCGATTTTCATGGAACTTTTTTTGGCGATATACATCATGGTCTTATAGAACTTACTGTAATATTACGGCCTTACGACAAGTAGTTTAATTTTAAAAATTCGTCAAACTTTGCTAAAATTATTATCGTTTTTTTTAAAGTAGGATTGATGAAGTATATTATTTACACATTTTTTTTGATTAAGTCGATTATTTACGCATATCGGGAAGTTCATGTAACTTGCCTCAAGGCTAAATACCAAACCAACTAGTTTAAGTTTTCTTTTAATTTAACCAAATGTTTAAATCGTAAAGATATACAAAAAAAAAATATTTTTGTTGTTTTTGCATTTATTATCTGTAACTTTGATCTAAATGATCCAAAAAATATTCTTCTTGTGTTGGCAAAACAATTGTTGTTAAAAATTATTTTTTTAATTTAAAAAAAATCCAGAATAATTCTTTTGTAATCAAAAATAATTTAGATTTTAAATTTAATTTAATTTTTAGTGGCTAAAGATCTGAAGCTAACTTATATACTTTAAATAAATAACTTTAACTTGATAATTCAGTTTTATAATTATTATAAGTATTAGAAAATGTTACAGTATTTATAATAATAATATGAAAATATTTATATTTTTCGATCATTTTGTTACTGTATGGAAAGTTCCAGCAATTTGCCCTAAGGCACGATTCCGTATACCACTAGTTTCATAATATTTTATTGTCTATGATGTAATAATCCACTCTTCCATCCATATCTATATCCATCTCTCTATATCTATCCATCACTCTATCCATCCATACTTTTCTTTTATCTATGTAATAATAATTCTAGAATTAATAATAAAAACGTTTGTTGACAGTTGAGTTGAGAATGTATTTAAAAAGTGGCGCCACTTGTTAAATGTCAAAGCGAGTTGATAAGTGTCTCATCTTTCTGCAAGTATACTCTATGCTCCAAATGTCAAATAATTAACGTAGACAATATAATAAATGTATCAAGTTGAAATTATTGTCGGTTAAACTGAGTTATTATTTAGTACATAACAATTTTCGTTAATATTTACTGAGTTTAAGCAGTGAAAATATTGAAACATGTCAGAAGCATCATTTTTTACTATGAATGATCTCGCAATTAAAATTGAGCCACCAGAATATTCAGAAGAAGAAATTAAACGCGAAATTGAGGATGAAATGGATGATCTTGATGATATTGTTAAATCTGAAACGTGTACTGAGGATGATAAAACCTGTTTAGAAAGATTCATGAATTCAGAAGTGACTATAGAAGAAGAAGTCAAACACGAATTATTCGAGACATCAGCTTATAAATGTGACATTTGTAATAGATCATTTGCAGAATTACATCAATTAAAAGAGCATATGGTCGATCACAAGCCTAGTAATGACAAAGTATGCCCATTCAAATGCGACATCTGTCTCAAGACTTACAAACGAAAAGGTCATCTGACAAATCACATGATTATTCACAGTGGTGAGCGCCCCCATGAATGCACTACATGTAATAAGAAATTCAAAATATTAAGTACTCTCAAAAGTCACATGCTCATTCACAGTGGTGAGCGCCCCCATCAATGCAAGATATGCAATAAGGCATTCACAGAATTAAGTACTCTGAAAAAACACAACCTAATTCACAGTGGTGAGCGTCCTTTTAAATGCATTATATGCAATAAGTCATTCACACAATTAAGTACTCTGAAAAGACACAACCTAATTCACAGTGGTGAGCGCCCCCATGATTGCAGTATATGCAATAAGTCATTCACAACATTATATAATTTGAAAAGTCACATGCTTTTTCATACCAGAGAGCGTGCTTATAAATGTGAAACATGCAATAAGAGATTTGCTAATTCGAGCAATTTGAGGAAACACATGTTAATTCATAGTCGGAAGCGAGATGAAAATCAGTGAAATATAAATATATTTTTTACATTGAAATTTTTAGATACATGCTATAAAATATTCTTGTGTGTAATGTAATATAAGAATGAATAAATAAAATAAAATACATAGTAAACATTACATAATATGCATTTATTGAGAATTAATTCAATTTTTATATAATTGTTTTAAACATTTTTTGTGGTTTTTCTAATTTGTGATTTACTTGCAATAGAAACTATTGGAGAATGTTATCAAGTGTGCAATACAAAATCAGTTTGGAAAATGATTAAACTCAATTTTTAATAATAATGATTTAAAAATAATTGTAGTCATTTGCTATTTAATTTCAGAACCAATTCGATATTTATATGAGATAGTCTAATTTAACACCAGTATAATAATTTTTGGTCGAAGAGTCCTTAGCTTTGTTTAATGTCCTTCAAAATTAGATGGTGAGTTGTTCCATCGTGATGATTTTTATTATTACAGTTTATACTTATAAACTTTCTATTGATATATCAAAATCATCACGATGAAACAACTTGCCATTGATCAAAAGTCAAAGTCAAATCATCACAACAGCTTATAGGACCTTATAGAAAGGTTCTGATTGCTCATTTGAGCTCATTTCTGTTTGATATCACTGATGCTTGACTGAAATCTTGATTGAAATCCCATAGCTCTATAGCTCCCATCTCTCTGATCAAGAGGGAGACCATTTCTAGATAGATTAATTACAAAATAATATTTTCATCATATAATTATCAGAAACTATTATTTTTTAAATGACGTCAAATTTTGTTTATATTGAGTTAGGTCACTGACACGTCTGGGCAGAGTCCGACTATTATTAAAATCAGGGAACAGCAACCATTGGAATTATATAGAACGTATTGCAATTAAATTAAAATACAATTGGATGCTACCTAAATATCAATATACATTAGTATAAATATTAATATGTAAACCTGCTTGTTGTTTTTTATAGCAGCAGATAGCTAGATAAGTATAGGAATTACGTTCATAAGATTTTACAACGCGAATCAAAAATCTAAATTCATCATTTTTCTAACATTGGGAGTATATATAGTTTTTTATTAAATATAATATTAATAAAACAATTAACAATAATTATAATAAACTATAAAAAATATGGATCATTTGTTATTTTGCCAACTGTTACAAACCCTTGGTATTGCCTCACAAGAGAATAGCATCAGTCGTATTATGCATTTCATATTTTACAGACATCAATTATGGAATTCTGATTTGAACCAGATTAATCTGGTTATAAATTATTCAATAAATAAAACAAAATTAGAAGCTATTACAACAAGATAATATTGATACGATCAAATCAGTTTTATAAATTCATTAATCTTATTGCAATTCCAAAAAGCACTGAAAACACTGAAAATTTTCTTTTTTTTTAACTTTTTAAGATTCCAAGAATTTCAAAAAAGTGCATGAATCTAAGAAGTTTTCTGAAATTCATACAATATAGTTTTGAACTAGAATTTTCAAACATTCGTTTAAATTGAATTAACCACACTGTAGACTATTTGATTAGAAAAGACGAGAAGGTCCATTAATTTATAAACTTTACTTATCTTTAATATTAATTCCATTATTGCAACCTAATAGTTTAACTTTATTCATATTTAATATCAATTATGTTTAAATATTTGCATTGAAATCGGTATATCGAAGGTTGAAATTATTTTGACATTATTTGTTCACCTATTTCTATAAGAGTAATATTTTTTTATACACCCATCAAGAAGATGATGCTTTATAATTAAATGTTTTTTTAGAAAATGATTCATCGGTGAGCCTACCTATATTTGATACATTTTTTTATTAGAATTTCTTTAATACTGATAATATATACTGAAAATATGCTAGAATCCAGCATATTTTCAGTATATATCATCAGTATTAAAGAAATTCTAAAAAAAATGTATCAAAAATACTTAGGCTATCTAGCAGATAGATATATATTTTCAATTTCAAGTGTATATCAAATTCACTACTGCTTGGTAATTGTGGAAAGCTAGTTTCAAAGCCAAAGATCTTACAACTGAATAACGGAGAAGCCATATTTGTTATCGCAAACTTCATATTTTAACTTCATAAATAACACCCAAAAAGTAAATTATCTTTTTTCAGTTATTAGAATGAATTATTTTTAGTCTTTTCAAAAAAAAATATTTTTCAAATATCGGGAGATCCGATATGGCGGCGAGAGCAGCAAAGACTTTGAGACGCCTCGTACTCTAAAACCATATTGATTTTACAAAAAAACGGTTATTGAATGAATTGTAGGAAATTTTGTCTAGTTTAATTCGCACTTACTTTTATAGTATAATAATCCAGAAAGGAGATATTGTTGAAAAAGTGTTTTGTCGCCATTTTTTCAATATGGCGGCGCCTTGCTATAAAAATTCGATGTGGAAAAGTTGAAATTTGTTAAAAGCACCTCGAAATCTATAAGATTACCAATTTTCAAAATGCCCGGAGTACTATACCGGCAAAACTACCAATTGACTGGAGTAAATAGAAATCACTCCAATGAGCAACTTACAATGGTCCTTGTATTTAGTTAGTCTACTAGTACAAACTTGAATTAAATGTATCTTCAGTTCATCATAAATAATTTATCAAATACATGCCATGAAGCTCCATCAGTTATATGTGTAGAATTAGCCCTTTCCACTCGCGAATTGGGAGATTTATAAGCATTTTGCCGCTGGAGCGGCGACATCCGAGAGGAAAGGGTGAAATTATGAACATTGGATGATGGTGATGTTAAAGTTCTTGGTGCAACCCTAAAGTTGAGATTCTTACCTTCAGACAGTACTTATGATTGTCTAAAATTTAAGAAGTTTTTCTTAAAAGATTTGTGCTATATTAATATTTGAGATTTGTTCAAAATATGATTTGTGCTCAATTAATCCATGCATTTCAGCTTATTAGCTCTTGTCTTAATTTCTTGAATATTTGCACGGATGTGACGTCTCCAATTTTGTTTCGAACCAATTTTTATATTTAAACACTTAACAGTAGAGGATGGGCAATAGAATTTCCCAAAAAGGAGATTCTAAGGCCAAATTGTTTTTGATTGATTAATATTTAGATATAGCATCATTTTAGCGAATATTCAGGCATGATAATTCTTTTTGTTTTTTTTTTTTAATTACAATCTGTCACACTTAGGACATTCAGTAATTGTATTGACATTATTATATGGATTTGTGAATGGATGGTAACCCACTAGTTGTCCAATCCAATTATGACTAATTAGCTATACTCGAAGTATTTGCAAACATTTTTATAGGCATTTGCAACGCAATTTATTCATTATAATAAAGTTACATAATCATTTTACATGTTAGATTATTTAATGATTTATTTTTATGCAAAATATACTTTCATTGCATCCTTAAGTATCGAAGTAGATTAAATTGTATAACTTATTTTAAAGATAAAAATTCAATATCTTGAAGATGTAAATTTATGCATTTCATGTACTTGAAGTAAATGCAATAAAAATATGTCTTATCATACAAAGTGCACCGTTATCAAGTCGCAATAAATCAATATTAACAATAATATTCAATGCTTCTGGGATCATCAGATCGTGCACGCTATTTATTATTGAGACAGAAATTGTGAAAATATTTTACCAGAAAATATTAAAGGATTTGTAATTAACTGATAATAATTGAAATAATGAAACTTATTTAAAATAGAAATAACCAAGTGATGATTTTATACATCCAACTAAATTTCAAACGTCAAATTCTTTCCTAATTTTTATTTTTTTTTTTATTTTTGAAGATCAAACAGAACTTAGCGGTTTGGTAAGCTGTTGTGATAACCTTTCTTCTTAACAGCATTGCTTTTTAGAAGGCAACCCAATAGTCAACCTTTATACATTTTTGTATATTAAACATAATTTTATCATTAGAACTTCTCTATCATAGTAATGAGCCGAAAATCGAATTTTTTTGCATTTATCAACGTTTTGAAGGTTTCTGAATATATTGGCATATCTCAGAAAAAATGAATGCGCGTGTGTGTGTTTTGTGTGTCTGCATTTTTCCGTTCACGTTTTTGGACGCACGGATCAACCGATTTAAATGGTTCAAAAAACATTCGATTCTAATTGATATGAAGCTGTGCTGATTAGTTTTTGGCAAAAGCAGGTCCAGCCGTTACGGAGATAAAGAGCAAAGAGAGCAAAAAATAGAAATCGAATTTTTCAGAGAACCGAGCATCCGATTTGAATTATCTAAAAACATGCAATTAGTAATGATTGCGAGAAGTGGTTATTAGTTTTTGGCAAAGGCAGGCCCAGCCATTTGAAAGATACAGAGCTAAATATACAAAAAAGCAGTTTTTAAGAGAAATGAATAACTCAAAAAACTTTCGGCTTGTGTTGACAAAACAATTGCATTTGGAAAAAAAATTCATTTCATTTTCCTTTTGTATATCGAAAATAAATCAGATTTTAATTTTACTTCTGGCTAAACTTTTAAAGCTCACTTATATACTTTAAATGCATATTTTTGACTTTGTGATTCAGTTCATATAATTTTTACAAATACTAGACAATGTTACAGTATTTATAATAATCTATTTGAAAACATTTATTCTTCGAACATTTTGTTACGGTACGGGAAGTTCCAGCAATTTGCCTTAGGGCGCGATGCCATACACCACTAGTTTTTTTTCAACTTTCCGTGGGGTAAGTTATAGTAATCGCAAAAAAATCAAAAATGAAAATTTTTATATATCTTTACGTTTCAGAGGTTTTCGAACATTTTGGCATACCTTAGATAAAATTTTTATATATCTTTACGTTTCAAAACCTTCTGAACATTTTGGCATACCTTAGAAAAAATGTATGTATGTGTGTGTGTGTCAATCATTTGGCGGTCAAATTATCAGATATTTTATAGGCATTTAAGTATAATAGACAATAATAAGTATAAATTTTGTTTACATTTCTATGGGATCCGTAC